CGCCCAGTGTTGTTACTTTCCACCAAAGGCATAAAACATCACCTCATAATGGTCCTGATAGCTTATCGGTTCCCCTCCCAACCCTTCAAGCTGGTCCTTCAAACGGTCCTTCAAGAGGACCATTTCTGTACAAGGTAACAAATGATATACCTAAGCCTGTCTGTCACATTTTAGGCAGTGTAGCTCAGAGGAGAGAATTCACAAGGGTCAAGATTTAAGCTCTTGTACCACCTAGAGCCATTTCATTATATAAGATATTGTTCCAGTGTTGGGGCTCAGTGGCTTCAATGCTTGCTTGTAAGCATGGAATCCTGAATTCAAATCCCCTGCATCCATGTAAAACGTGGGTATGAGGACACAAAACCCCCCAGCACTGGGATGGGGGTGAGGATGGAAAGGCAGACCCCAGAGGCGTGCTGGTGCAGCAGTCCTGCTGAAATGGCAAGCTCTAGGTTCAAAGAGAGATGTTGTCTCAACAAGTAAAGCAAGATTTGGTGGCAGTGTATGGCTTTAACTGCAGTACTCTGAAGGCTGAGGCAGGTGGATCTCTGTGAGTTTGAGGACAGCCTGGTCTACAGAGTTCCAGGCCAGCCAGGGCTACACAATGAGATTCTGTCTCAAAAACAAAACAAATGGAGATCGACAGAAGAAGAGGAGGAGGAGGAGGAGGAGGAAGAGGAAGAAAAAGGCACCAGAGCTGACCTTTGACCTTCACAGATGCTTGTACAGGTGAGCATTCCTAACCTCAAAAACATTGTATGTATAAATATGTGGACAAATCCCAGCCAACAGAGATGACACTAGGTGAAAAGGGAGAGGTCAGCATACTCACAAACAAGTCGAGGAACACCAAGACTGTAGGCCAAGCAGCAGAGGCCAGGAAAGTCCTCAGATCTACCCTTCCCCAAGCCTCAGAAGACACAGGGCTGCTGACATGGTAAGCTAATGCAAGATGCCAGGCAGGTGGCTGGAGTCGGCAAAGCAGCATGCCCAGAAGGTGTTCATATTCAGGGTGTTCTGGCATCCTAGTGACCCTGCGTTGGAGCCAGGGTCAACAAGACCTAGAGGTTAGGGTATATGGGAGACGGAGTCCAAAGGCTCAGTGGGACCCGGGCCTCAGCCTCAGTGACCCAGGAAGACAAAGGGTGTACTTAAGAGGTAGTCTTACTGTTCTATTGTGGTGAAGAGACCTCATTACCACATTACTGTTTTGGTTTTGAGACAGGGCTTCTTTGTGTAGCCCTGGCTGTCCTGGAACTCTGTAGACCAGGCTGTCCTCAAACTCACAGAGATCCACCTGCCTCTGCCTCCTGAGTGCTGGGATTAAAGGCATGCCCCACGACCACCCGGCTTGGAACAGGGATCTTAAAATTTTGCAGAGTTGAACATTTCCTTTCTCTTCCTCCCAGGCAGTGACATATTGTAAAGCAGAAAGAATTTTGTTTCTGCACTTGGGGAGTTGAATTTAACAGGGAAGCTGGGCATGGACCCAGCCCTTTGGAGGCCGAGACAGGAGGACTACACAATGAGTTCGAGGCTGGACCTGGGGTCAGTGCCCAGGACCCCCACATAGGGGCTTAGCTCCATATGTAACTTGAGTTCCAGGAGATCCAGTGCACTCTTCTGGCTTCCACAGGCATCAGGTGTGTCCTGGGTGCACAGGCACACCAGGCGGGCAAAACACGCCCCGCCCCCAAAACAAACTAACCGCCTCGAACCATGTTTTTAAAAACTACAAAACAAAATAACTTTCAAGGGCTGGGAACATGGCTCGGTTGGTATCCCACGGCCCTCATATGCACAAAGCCCTAGATTTGACTTAGAGCACTAAGCCCGACATGGTAGTGCAAGCCTGTGATCCGAATCAGGAAGTCAGGACATCAAGGCCGTCCTCATTCATGTAGCAAGTTCAGGGACAGGCGAGGATATGCAAAACCCTGTTTTAAAAGATCAAATCCCTTTAAAAAAAAATCACCCAGGGGAGGAAGCTTCTGGTGTGGGAGGCAAGGTGCCAGGCAGCCTTACCTAACGAAAACAACCAGGGTCAGGAAAAGAAAGGTACCAGCCACCAAGCCCGCCACCCTGAGTTCAAGCCTTGGGATTCTCATGATGGAAGTAGAGTGTCTGGGTCCAGAGGTCTGCTCTGATGAATAACTGCTTCCCTCCTCTCTTCGAATGAGGTGGAGAGGAGGTGTGTGTGGGGGGGGCTCTTTAGGTTTTTTTTTTTTTTTTTTTTTTTTTTTTTCTGGGAAAGCTGCCCACAGAGCCTAGGAAGAAATACGATTTCTTTCACCTAGGAGACTTTCACCTAGGAGGCTGGGTTGATGATGGAGTCAGAACTCCAGAGAGCCCGAAGTCAGGCTGGGCCTTGCTGGACACAGGCTGGTTAATGAGTGTGTGTGTGTGTGTGTGTGTGTGTGTGTGTGTGTGTGTGTGCGCGCGAGCGCACTCTTATGCTTGTGAACTTGTGTGCATGTGGAGTGCTTGGGCTAGCTACTGTTTCTCCTGGAGTAGCTGTTGAGGTGAGCAAGCCACCAGGCTAACTAATGGTCAGCTCTGGTGGGACATGGACTCCTAGAGTGGGGGGAGGGCTTCGGGGTTGTTACAAGCTCCGATGGAAATGGATTTGACAGCCAGGACAAGACCCTTCACCTCTCAGGGTTTCAGCTTCAAGGGTCACAAAAGAAAGCCAACATCTTGTTCTTATCCAGTCCTGGCTGGGGTCCAGGGGTGCTGTCCAAGGGCTTTTGGTGATAGGATAAAGTTCTTTAGAAAGAAAAGGGTATAGAAAGGCTGCCCAGGATGGGGGAGGTGAACAAGAACAAGAGAGGCAGAGGCCAAAGAGGTGAGGAGGCCAGAGGATGAGGCGGCAGGGAGCACAGAGAAACCATTGTGCCGACTGGAACTCTGGCCAGGCTGGAACCCCCCTCTCACTGGGTCTTTCCCAGGAAGGGAACTGGACCCTGAGGCCCAGGGTTTAAAAGCCCTGCAGGCTGCTTCTGCTCTGTCATCGACTGAGTTTCCAGTCAATCTCACCCTCGATGACCTGCAGAGCGTGAGAGGTTCCAGCCCTACATCTCAAAGGAAAGAGAGACCCGGCTCCAGGTTGGCATTTTGGGGAAGAAGTCACACACAGCCTGGTCTTCGCTTCTCTGTGCCTCAGTTTCTCCTTTCCAATTGCTAACGACTGGCTTTTCAGACTTGCTAGACACTCCCTCCCAAATGTGGGAGAGCAGAAGGGGGGGGGCGTTCCCTAAGAGTCTGAGGAGTCAGCCCCTCCAAGCTCGAAATAGCCTCCTACCTGAGTCTCCTAGATGCCAAAGCCAGCCCTGGACCCTAGGTCTCTGAAGGAGAGGGACAGGGCAGAGAGAGGAGCCAGCCGCAGTGAGCTCTGGCTCCCTCGAAGAGCCCCCTCCTCCCACCGAGGCTCGCGTTCCCGCAGCGCGTGACCGCGCCACTGCGGCTACAGAGCTGCTCTCCCTGTCCGCGCTGGATTCCTAGGGAGTGAGGTGGGAAGCTGGGAATGGGAGTGGGTGTAGGACCTGATTTTGGCGGCACTGGGGGTGGGTGATGACGCCCTTGCTACCTCCAACTCCTCCAGTTTATTTTCATTTTTTGCTTACTTGTTTCCGGGAGTTCCACGCGTGTCGCTGAGTCACCTTCTCGGAAGGCACTCCGGGCACTCAGGCTTGGGTCAAGCTGTCCCGCGGCGGTACAGAGCCAAGGCATGTATTGCAGGGACGCGTGCGGAACCGCAGGTCCAGCCTGCGCCCCTGGCCCTCCTGGGGACCCCTAAAATAGTGAGAAAATAGGTCGGGGACTCCGGGGTCCTATGGAGGAAAAGCCACCTTCAAGGCGTGACCCAGTTCACCGCAATGCCTTGTTATCTGGTTCTGCCCTCCTCCCGGACTCGCCTCTTCTGGACTTTGAGAAGGGATGCAATGAGAGGCGTGTGGGGTCGCGCGCGGGGGCCGGTGTGGGCGCGCAAACCCTCGGTGCTGGGGCTGGACCACCGCAAGCTTCCTTGGGGGTTTCATGTCTGTTTTGATCCTACCTGGGTAGGTCACCAAGTTGGACTTGGCAGCTTCTTTTTCTCCAGTCGCCACCAATAATCATCTAGGAATTTAACACGGGTTAATCATGCACACCCTCGGGTCATCTGCCATGAAATATATCACTTACACAAGCAGGCGTCTGGTTTTTCTCCACCGAAGCCCGTACCGCCGGGCGCGTGTTCATCTTCACCCCGAGCTCGCCCGAAGGGGTGGGGAGCGGTGGGACCACGCCCCCACGCCCGCCTCTCGGATCCTGAAGAGAGCGCCCCCCTCGCTCTGTGCACACTGCTGGGTTCCTCCAGTTGGTGAGGATCGTGGATCCAGATCATCCGCTGCAGGCAGCTTCCCGGGCCTCGAGAGCGTTCCCTGGGGGAAAGACTCCAACTTTGCTGTGCTAACCTCCTCGCGACTTCGTGCCCCAGCTAGAAGTCCCCAAACCGGTTCAGCTTTCCCCTGGAGGGCGTGCCAGACTACTCCGCGTTCTGCGGCTGAACGATCCAGCGGCTGCATCTCTGGAAGCTGAAAGTAAACCCATCACAGAGGAGCAGGGGAGGAAGAGAAGCTCCCGGGTGGCGGGTGCCCCGACCTGCCATGGCCCGGAGGCAGGACAGCTGGACGGGTCTGGGTGTGGAATTCCGCTCATGCCGGGGCTAGGCGCTGCCGAAGAGGCGCTGCCTCCCTGCTGTGAGAGCGGCTTCGAGGTACAGTGCCGGGTCCTCAGCAAGCGCACCCGAAGGCCGCTCGGCGGCCGGGCGCAGGCACCTGGGCTGCGCTCTCACTTTCGCGCTCGGCACGCCACGCCTCGCCGACTTCCTGAGCCGTTCCTCCGGCCCGGGCGGGGGGCACACGATCCCGTCCGGGGACCCAGCTTCTCCGCGCGCGGCCGAGGCGTGGGCGGTGGCTTCCGTGTTGGGGGCGGTACGGTGAGATCCCGGGCGGGAGGGGGACCAGCGCGGCGCGCGGCTCCGGTTCCAGCCTGGAGAAGCCCAGGGCACGCGGGGCGGGGCCGGGCCGGCGCCGAGGCTCAGCGCCCTCCCCGCGCCGCCGCCCCGCCGAGTGGAGAGAAAAGTTTGAGGCCCGGGGGGAGCGAGGCGAGCCCTGGGAGTCGGGTCGGCCCCGGGCTTCAGCGGCCCCTCCGTCGCGGGGCTGCAAGAGCTGGTTTCCGCCGCTGCCGCTCGAGGGACAGACTGGGCGGGGACGTCCCGGGCTCCCGCCCTCCGGCGGGTCGGCCACAGGCCCGAGCCTCGCGGCGCACTCGCGCCCGGGCAGGGCGGACCGTCGCTGGAGGTTCATCCAGCTTGGGCTGGCTCTTGCGGGACCCGGGCGCTGTCGTCAGGAGCGCGGCGCGCACCCCCCTCGGAGGCTCGGCGGCTTCGGAGTTCAGGCCCGGGACTGGACAGGTTGGGATGTGGTTCTTCGTCCCAGAGTACGCGCTCGCAGCACCGGCTCTGGGAACTCTGGCGACTGGACTCGCCACCAGTCCCGAAGGGTGAAGCGCTGTCCCGACCAAGAGAGGCACGGGTCACTGACTCATGCGTCGGGCGGGAATCCGGAGTCCCCTGGAACGGAACGTTCGTGGGGTGGGAGCTCAGTTTGGAAAGCTGGATCCCCACCCGCTCTGGTGACTGTCCCCGCGCGAGGGCAGGGGCTCTGCTGGGCACCCTGTCCCACGTGCGCACGGCCCCGGCAGCGAGCCCCACCAACACTGTCTCCTCCTGTCCCTCAGATCTGGCCGCCTCGGGGAATGACAGGGGCGCTCTCACGGCCCAGGGAAGCGGAGAGGGCGAGCCGCACAGCCAGTCGCCAGACATCCTGCTGGGCAACGCCGATAAGGAGCGGAACGCACGAGCCGCCGTTAGCACGAGCAGAGCCCGGCCAGCCCTCGTGGCCCCTTGTCAGCCGGAGCCCCGGACCCTGGCTATGGAACCAGGTTTGTGGCGTACCTGTCTGGGAGAGGCTAAAGGGACCTTCCCCCCCCCCCCCAAATGAACCTCAGAAAGAAGCCTAGAGAAACATGTTATCCCACGAGGCACGAAGTCGTCTGGCCCTGAGCCAAAAAGAGGCATTGCGGTGTCCCACTCCCAGACAACCTGTGGGAGGCCACTTCCTCTAGCAGGGCTGTGTTGGTCAGCTACCCAAAGACTTGCCCTCCCGCCCCGCCACCTCGCCCCGTGTCCCTGCAGCTCTCTTCGGCCCTCTAGCGGCTCGTTGAGGACATTGTCATTCTGTTTTGTTTAAGGTTTATTTTTATGTGAATGTTTTGACAGCATAGATGTGCACCACGTCTGTGCTTGGTAGCCTTGAAAGCCAGAAGAGGGAGTAGGGATCCCCGGAACTGGAGATTAGGGCCACTGGGAGCCACCGTCCGGGTGCTGGTACCGAACCTGGGTCCTCTAGAAGAGCAGCAAGTGCTCTTAATTACTGAGCCTCTTTCTCCAGCCCCATCTTTTTTTTTTTTTTTTTTTTTTTTTTTAAAGCAGGCTGCCCCGGAGGACTGCTCCCACGGCCTTGCAGGGTGCTGGTGCTGCTGAACCCCGGCGCCGGCAAGGGCAAGGCTCTGCAGCTTTTCCAGAACCATGTGCAGCCCCTTCTGGAGGAAGCTGAGATATCCTTTAAACTGATGGTTACAGGTGAGTACTGTCCCCAGAGAGTGAGGGGAGCATTTCCTGCCAGAAAACAGGCTCTGAGAGCATCGTATCCCCTGCCAGAGCGGCAGAACCATGCCAAGGAGCTGGTGTATGCAGAGGAACTGGGCCACTGGGATGCCCTGGTGGTCATGGCCGGTGATGGTCTGATCCATGAGGTACGGGCTGGGCTGGAGGATTGGCCAGAGGGTTCAGGAGAGTTTCCCTGCGCTAAGGCCACTCTGCTTTAACAGGTGGTGAACGGGCTGATGGAACGGCCTGACTGGGAGATTGCCATCCAGAAACCCCTGTGTAGCCTCCCCGGAGGCTCTGGCAATGCAGTGGCAGCGTCCATCAACTACTATGCTGGGTGAGAGCAGGGGGTCAGAGAGGGTACCATCGACCCTAACGGCCAGGTTTTCTAAGTTCCCGTGGGAAGCTCCTCTCTCTCCTGTATCCTTACCCTCAGTTTACTGGCCCTAGGGAGTCTTCGCCTGCTGTCACTGGTTCCACTAATCTCCCCAGGGACCACTGTTGCTTCGCTGGCCCCGCCCCCTAAAGACTAAAAAGAGGGTGCGTGGGAGGGAGCTCTCCACCCATCCCGCCTGACCTGTAACCGCGCAGGTACGAGCAGGTGACTAATGAAGACCTCCTGTTCAACTGCACGCTGCTGTTATGCCGTCGGCGCCTATCACCTATGAATCTGCTGTCGCTGCACACTGCTTCCGGCCGGCACCTCTATTCCGTGCTCAGCCTGGCCTGGGGCTTTATTGCCGATGTGGACCTGGAGAGTGAGAAGTACAGGCGCTTGGGGGAGATTCGCTTCACGCTGGGAACCTTCTGCCACCTGGTGACCCTGCGGATCTACCAGGGCCAACTGGCCTACCTTCCCGTAGGAAAGGCGGCCTCTAAGGTGCCTGCTTCCCCTGCACTGGCGCACGAGGGCCCTGTGGACACACACCTCGTCCCTCTGGAAGAGCCAGTGCCCTCCCATTGGACCGTGGTTCCAGAGCAGGACTTCGTGCTGGTGTTGGTACTGCTACACAGCCACCTGAGCACAGAGCTGTTTGCGGCACCCATGTGCCGCTGTGAGGCTGGCATTATGCATCTGTTCTACGTCCGTGCGGGGGTGTCGAGGATCATGCTGCTGCGTCTCTTCCTGGCCATGCAGAAGGGCAAGCACATGGAATTTGACTGTCCATACATGGTTCATGTGCCCGTGGTTGCCTTCCGCCTGGAGCCCAAGAACCAGCGGGGCTTATTTGCCGTGGATGGAGAGAGGATGGCGTGTGAAGCCGTGCAGGGCCAAGTGCACCCCAACTACTTTTGGATGGTCTGTGACAGCAGAGATGGCCCATCCAGCTGGGAGCCCCAGCAGAGGCCACCTCCAGAACTGTGATGCCCTGGCTCTCTGTGCCTTTGTCTGTGTCTACACTGAGAAGGGACCCTCCCTGCTCCCATCCCCTGGGAAGGGGGTACTTCTAAAGCTCATATGGAGGTGGCGGGAACCCTACCCTATAGAGAAAGCAGAAAAGTGGGACTGTTTTGGAAAGGCAGGCTAGAATGAGGTCCTGGGCAGGAGCCCCGCTGGCTGGGCCACTTGTGTATAGAAGGCACCCTCTGAGAACCAAATTCAAATAAAGTAGCCTTTTCCAGTCTGCTGATCCTGATTGGGAAGAGAATGGGGTCATGACACCAGCAAGGGCTATGGAATTGTGGTACTGGGGACTGAACCCAGGGTCTCCAGTATGCTCTGTAAGCATGTTGCCATTTAGTTATATCTCCATGGCACCATCATGTTGGTGTTGGGCTCCCGAGGGACTGACAATCAGACCCACTTGAGCTGCAGAGGCCCCCAGAGCCTGGCTAGCTGCTCCCTCACCCCCCCCTCCCCGCCTTAAATACAGTGGGCACCCTGAGTGCACAGAGCAGGGAGGGGTTCCTGAGTTAGAAGCCTTGATGCAGAGCCTGTTGAATGTGGACCTCAGGGCAGCTGTGCCTTCTTACTGGGCCACTGCAAATGAATTGTTTCCTGGAGAAATTGGTACTTCCTCCCAGTCATTTACACATAATTCTGCCCTGATTTCCAGCAGTCTTGGGGAATTTAATGATCCATGTAGCTACTACGTGGAAAGCCATCATCCATGCTGGGTGGGCTTTCCAATGGGGTTGCTTTGAGTCTCCTGTGCTCCTGCAAGTAACCCCTCATCTATGCTCTGCAGCTAAGCCCAATGAGCTCACTGGCTCCCCAGGAGGAACCTTGGTGGCCCCATACTTTGTTGTTGGGGAAGACTTGCTTAAGTCTCCCCGGGGAAGGGACTCAGCACAGACAGCAGTTTAAAAGCGAACTGGGTTACACCTCAGCCCTTCCCTTACACCGAACTGGAGTTCCAGGCAGGCATAAAGAGGAAGCAGCAGGGCAGAGCACATGCCAAGCCCCAAGACCGGGCGGGCACTCATTCCAGCTTGTAGCCAGAATGCTGACACCTGCCTGTCACTAGATGCTCTGATATCAGTTCCCCAAGAATCTTGAATAGCCAGCTGTAGGCTGGTGTCCACTACCCAGCCCCAAGAGCTGACTGTTGTCTGGATACTCAACACCCACCCCAACAGACTATGACCGGAGATGAAGGTGTCAGGCAGTGAGGCCAGGACCCACTGCCACGTTCTCCCTTGGCAAACAGTATGGGAGGATGGGCCCAGCAGACAAAAGTCAAAAACAACAGCTTGAATGAACGGCAGAGGCAGGTTTAATGGTGTCACCTTGTCTTGTTAATGAGCCAGCCCCCCAAAAAATGCAAGTAAAAAAAAGTTTAATCACACAGCACTTTATACAGGTATTATAAGCAGTAGGCATTCACATCTCCACATGAATGATGCCCAGGGATGCACAGCCCCACCAGCACCCATGTCCTCAGGTGCCGGTGGTTCCTGGTGACCGGTCCAGTTTCTGGCTCTGTCCTTCCCAAGGCTCGCTGCCCGGTGGTCCTGGCACAGAACAGGCGTGGAGCCCATTTAAGGCTGACAAGACGCATCATGCTTTGGCTTTTTTTTTGTCTTTTGTTTTTTTGTTTGTCTTTTTCTAGTAAGAGTTAGTATCTTTGCTTCTGAGATTTATTCCCAACCTTAAATATTACACACACTAGAAACGACATAGCTGCAATGTGCTCAACAGCGCCCTCTCTGCCTGGAGCTTCACATTATCAAAAGCTTAGAAACTTGTAAACCTTTGCGCCTGTGGAGGTGGGGTGGAGCTCCTGCTGCCTTCCAGCCTCCTCCCTCAGACTGTCCTTACAGAGAGTCTATAAGCCAAGGCTGCCGGAAGAGGCTGGGCCACTGGATGGGAATGGCCCTTGTTGCTGGCCTGGTTTGTGCAGATGCTCCTGCCATCTCAATGGGGATAAAATGAGGCTGAATGGAGCAGATGAAAGAAGAGCCCACACACTCGGGCAGGGCTGCCAGTGTCACCGCCATCTTGGACTGGAAGAGCAAGGCACCTACAGCCATTTCTTTCCAAGCAGCACACTGTCCTCAACTCCTCTCCTGTTTATATGCAAGGGCTACCACTTCTCCTGGGTGTCACGTTGAACCTTAGCTTATTCTTCAGCTCTCTTAGAGAGTAAGGTCAACAGGCCTAAGGGCTATAGCGCACTGGCGGGCCCAGAGCCAGCCACAGCAGCCATAGCTCCAAGAGGTGGAGTAACAGGGGATAAAGGACCCAGTGTGGCAGGAGGGTCTGGGATGTGGGAGGCTACAGTCAAGCTGAAGAGAAAAGGGACTGGGAGCATTGCAGGAGCAGCCACACTTCATGCAAGGCACGTCCACCCTCCTGCCATCTGCAGGTTCCTCAACACCCCACCTCTGACCTGAGAAGGGACAGCTAGGAAGCAAGTGCCAGGACATTCTGCCTGGGGCAGCAAGAGGAACATTAGTAGAGTTCCCAGTGCCTCAGGGACCTGCCTTTGAAACATCACTGAGGGACAGAACGCAGCATCTTGGGACACTTCTTGCACTTCAGCATCAAACTTGCCGCAGGGAGGAGAAGGCAGTAGAAGGCTCCAACTGGGGGACAGGAAAGGGCAGGAAGAGGGCAACATCTCAGAAAGAGAGGGAGCAGGCAGCGGCTGGCCTCTCCCACCATAACACTCCTTTTTCAAGCGCTGGCAACTACTTGTCTTCTGTGCTCTCCGGCATGCCTGCCTCCAGCAGGGCAGCACGGAACTGTGTCAGGACCCCTCGGATGCTCTTGATGAAGCCCTTGGAGAGCGGGAAGAGGGGGAAGCCGATGTCAGGGTAGCCACTCTTCTCAGGCAGGAAGCTGCGGTAGCTCTTCCTCCTCCTCTTTGGTCTAACGCTGGGTGGTACTGACGCATCAGGGGCTGTCTCAGTCTGCTCTGTGTGGTCTCTGCTGGCTGAGGCGGGGCCCTGGGCACCACCTTCCGAGTCTGAGCCCTGCGAGGCCTCCCCAGGGGCCATCCCGACATCCTCAGGTTCCTCACGGCCGGAGTCTGAGAGTTCAGCTACAGCCATGGGCTCTAGAGAGCTGCTGTCTTTAGGGACACCATTGGGCAGTGCCTGGGCCCTCTCCAGCATGGCGTGGGTTTCCAGCCAGGACTCAATTCGGTTCACCAGTCGCCAGCCACCCACAGTGAAGTGCTGCCGGATCTCCTGCTCAAAGACCTCAGGAGGCCGTCGCACCAACTGGGTCATGGACTGTACAACTCGGATCAATGCCATCTCATTGTAGCAGCGGCTGTTCTCATAGCCTTCCTGCAGGCCCCGGTCACTATCAAAGCCAGCTTCGTTGTAGTATGGTTCATTTACCAGGATCAGACCTACCAGAAAGAGTCCCTTAGTAAGTGGGGTAGGCCCACATGGCAGGCCCGCCCTTGACACTCAAGGGAACTGCCTATCAGTGCCCAGCAGCCAACCATACCTTGGATGGAGATGAGCACCTGGAGAAGACTGGACTTGCTTGTCCACCTCTCTGTTCCCTGAAATGCAGATTGAACCTTCAGGTCTGCCCCGCGTGGACGCCAGCCCCACTATGCCACCACCTCACTGGGGGACGGGGCCCTTCCTCACCTTTCCAATCCAGGTACCCAGGAGGCTGACGCACACCTTCCCGTTGTCATACAGGTTCGGGTTCAGGCGGCCACTGCACTGGGAGAGGTAGCAAAAGTGCGGGGGCACTGCTGGGTAGATGTTAGGAAGCTGGATGTCAAACAGGTAGAGGCCATCTTCGTAGGGAGTCCGAGTGGGGCCCTTGATTAGTGCTGAGAAGAGGTCCTGGAGGGAACATGGGATGAGAGCTGGCATCAGGGGCCTGGCCTCATTTTCTCCCAGAGCACTGCACAGTTAGGAGGAAGGAGGTGGCACTCCAAAGCCACAGCCATGGAGCCACCGAACCCAAGCATGTCAATTTGCTTCTGGGGGCAGGGGTGCAGATTCTCTGCTGGAAGGGTGACACTGAGGGTCTGAGCTCAAAGGCTAAGACAGGCAGAGGCCAGAGAACTATGATATCCAGGACACAGGCTTCATATGTCTGTCTGTGCATGTGGGCACGCCTGGCAGGGTACTAGAGTAGAGCAGATAGTAACTGGGAAAAGAGAGATTGAAAGACCCTTCCACAGGGTCTGAAGTACCCGGGGTGACATCTTTTAAGACTTTGGAACAAAGTCCAGTCTTAACAAAACAGAACATTTTCTTTTGTTTCTCTTACTCCCCTCGGCAGAAGGGCACCAGACTGGAACTTCCTAAAGGAAATTTTTTCAAACCCAAGTTAAATAGGTGTTCCTGGGAACCTCAAGCAAGGCTGGGCGTGGCAGTTCCCACCTGTAATCTGCCCTTGGGAGGCTGAGCCAGGAGCAGCACTGTGGGTTCCTAGCACACATATACAAGGGCAGCTGCATAATGGCAAACCACACAAAGGACCATACGCCATGGTGACACTTGGGGCAGCCCTGTGTCAGACAAGGTCCTCTGGAAGGAGCCCACTGAGAGTGAGCAAAGGCCTCTGGTTTGGGAGAGCAGGGAAGGGACAGCAGAGGCAGCCGACTCCTCCTAGCAGGCTCCAATCTTTCAGAGAACGGACTTAGAATTACATGGGTATACTTCTGTTTAAAGGATGGGCCACCTGGGTCTCTATGCTTATACCTCAGGTGACTGAGCCACCATATCTGGAAACATGGCAATACCTTAGTGTCCCACGGCACCCTGTACCTGCCTCCCCAAGTTCCCAGCAGCCCACTTGCCATCCTGTCCTCGAAAGTCTTGACCATGATGCCATCGGGCAAGGAGGTGGCCAGCAGAGCCATCTCCTTCCGTACTGTGCTGAAGAACTTCTTGGCTTCCGGAGGCTGGAACTCAATCTTCTTGAAAGAGTGGTTTGCTGCAGTGGAGAGAACAGTCAGGCTCCGACCACAAACCACACTGCCCTCGGAGTATGGTCTGGATGGTGTGGCTGCCTGGGACATTCTAGATGGTGAGGGAGCCCAGGTATCACTCATTACTATCCCCTAGGACAAGGGCAGGGGCAGGGGCTAGGGCAAGGAGAGGATAAGCCACTTAGCTTCCGGTGTGATGGCAGAAACAAATTCTGGGGAGGACAGGGAAGGATAGCCATTCCAGGTAACTCACAGGGCGCAAACTCCAGCAC